CTGCTCACACTCTCTCCAACTTCATTCTGTGTCTCTGCTTCTCTCGTTGGATTGTTGTCCTGTAACCTCTCTGTCTCCGTCTGCTGGTCAGTCCTCTGCGCTGCCTCCGTTTCTGTCACTCTGTCCACAGTGTCCACCCTCTCTGTCACTGTCCCTCGTTCCACACTGTTTGCCCTCCGTCTGTGTGGATGGTCTGTCACAGTCTCTCCCTCAGTCTCTGTGACTTGGTTCACCCTCGGGGCCACATGAGTCTCCGTCATCTGGTCCTGAGTAGCAACCCTCTCAGTGACCGTGCCGCGTTCCATACTGTTGGCTCTTGGTCTTGGTGGACTCATCGCAGCGGCTTCTGCCTCTAACAAGGTGACATGTTCAGGTACTTCAACTTTAATTTCAGATACTCCATCCATACTTGCAGCACCTTCTTTGGAGACACATACTGGAACAGATATCTTATCTGTATCTGTCCCCTGGTCTATGGTGACAACCAGTTCTGTCTCAGTTTCCTGGTTGGCAAAACTTACTTTTTCTGTCACTGTGCCAGTGTCGATACTCTCTCTTCTTGACCTGCTCACTGCTTCTGTGCTACAAATCTCCACATGCATGCCTTCGCTCAATTGCAGTATTCTCTCCTCTTTTACTTTGTTCTCCTCAATTTGTTCTTTTAGAAGGCTGTTGGTATTCTCCAGCTCGTGGCTGGCCTGAGTGAGCTTATCTTCCAGTATCATTAGCTTCTCCTGAAGAATCTGCAGACTCTCTAAGTCTTCAGATTTTCTGTATTTTTCTGCATCACTGTCTTTAACACTGACAGTCTCCGTATGTTTTACAGCTGGCTTAGGTGATGGGGATCCCTGTCTTGCTTTGTCATGTGGCAGCCTTTGCACTGTGTCCTCCTCTTTTGGTTTGTCTGATTTTTCTGATGGTTGCAGTAGTCTCTGCGACTCTGCTTTTGACAACTCCGCCCCACCAGTGGGTTGATTCAGAACTAAATTGAGCCCTCCTGTAGGTCTGTGTCCTGGCTGTGACTCAGCAGCAGCGCTTGAAGCAGGAGTAGTTTGTGATCGTGACGCTGAAATCTGCTCTTGGGCTCTGGCTTTGAGTTGCAGCAGTAACTGTTCTCTTTCCTCCCTCAGTGAACAAATTTGCGCCTTTAGTTCTGGAATGGTTTTCACCTGCTCTTCCAACTCTCTGACACGCTTTAGAGCCACTGTGATCTGATGATGCAGCCCTGTTCGCTCCTGTGGAACAGTTCGTCTCTCTGTGATGTCTGGCGAGGGTCTGAACATGTTTTCTGTGGAGCCGTTCTCTGGTGTTCCAACAGTACGGTCTGGACTACTTGAATCCGAGCCCTTCCGTTGTTGTAGAGTGACAGGCATGCTTGATGCTCTCAGCAGGTTTGGCCGACCTTGTAGTTCTACGGCTTTCTCCTCAACAGCACGCACTACTTTGCTAATATCGTCTCTGGGCTTTGTGGGAACATAACTGCTTCCTGGACTGGTAGACCCCTTGCTGCTCTGGCTGGAAGATCCCATCTCGTTTGTCCTGAAGTCAAAGATTTGTTGAACTTCTGTCACCCGGGATTTAGGCTTAGGACCCAATGTCGATGTTCCAGACCATGTGCTCTCCTTTTCTTTAGACACAGGTTTGGCTCCATGACCAGGCAGACTGAAATTTCGGGGAAGTGTGCTAAATTTGGGCGGGCCTTTGACCCTGCGTTGAATGTGAACCCTTTTGATGGTGTTGCCTTTTTCAATATCATCAACATACTTGAGAAAGTCCAGGTCCAAGTGAAAGCCATAGGGAGTTTCCACAGAGTAGGGCAACTGCTTCCTCTGTCCGCCACCCTCACTTGCCTTAGTCTGAAAGCCATTGCCTGGGAAAGAAAATATTATTCTCACATTGTCACTTTACGCTTAATTTCTTGTGCTAACAATGATTTGCAACACTTAGAATGTCATTTTCCATTTAAGAAACAAAATGGATTTAATAACCAGGCAGATAGTAAAGTAAATCACATACCAACATTGGATTACTACACATTATTATTCATTTGCATCCAATTGTGCCGTCAGGTGCACTGTTTTGCACACTTGCTGCTCTGTTATGTAAAACCATATCACTTACTGGGAAGCAATTAAAATGCAGTCATCAGGCCAAAACACACTAATCATCATGCAAAAGGCTGTTCACTCAAAATAAAGCTATGAATATAGTATCAGGCGGGGGCAGATATCAACTGAAGTCAAATGAAAAACGTTAAGCAGCTTTTAGGAATACAGGGAAAATAATTTGATAATGTAATCCCTCATGTCGTAAAAACAAAAATCATACATTAACTATGCGGAAAAATACAAAAGATACAAGATATAATATAAAAACAAGTAGAAAACAATTATATTCACAATACTACAGTAAGTGTAACCTACCACTTTTTTTGTCCATCATGCGAAGCAGAGGTCTCAGTCATCGACTTGCTTTTGCCACTTTGGAAGCAGGCAGCCTGGACAAATAAAGAAAACATAAATAGAGGAAGTGAAAATCTGCCATTAATGTCATCCAAAGAGATTGAGGAACCAAGAGAGTGAAACCAATCCCATCACTAAAGTTTCAGGTAGAATTTAGCTTAAAGCATGTAAAAGATTCCCTTTAATGTTTAGGTAACCCGTAACAATTAATATACAGAAACACAATCCTTCAGAGAATGCCCTCATGTTCACACAATCCTTCAGAGAATGCCCTCATGATACCATGTTTCCTAATATTCAAAACATTTCCACTTTTATTTAACTTGTAACATTTCTTTACTTAATTCCATTAGAAAAACAAATACAATTAAGAACAACAATTGTTCAGTGGGAGGCACAGAAAGTCGTATATCTTCTTAACCTCTTAAAGAAAAAATAAAGGAAAAACACTCTACACAAACTTGTGTACTAACTTTTCAGAAGTGTAGTACACTACAGCTGGACAGTAAGTCCAGTTTCCTGCCTCTAATCTCCTGACTGTGTCCATTAAGGTAATTAAAACTACCTTGCTAAGTCAGACCTTTAGAACCCATTTGATTTAAAACGGTCCCAGGCAGACCCACAGATGGGAACACATCCCACTTGAAACCACTTTATATCATTTATTCCAGGACAAGAGGCCAAGAAACCAGAGCCATTTGTCCCAACAGGCTTACTGCTGTGTAAACTTAAACAAAATGGGAAACAATTCAGTTCTGTAACCAGCTTTATGAAAAGCCTCCTGATAAAACACCCAACACTAATACCCAAAATCCAGGCAATTTCCCCCCAGCTTTGATTGAGCAGCACAGATTAAATCCAAATTTAATGAACAGCCGCACGCTTGTACTGCCAAATATCAACAATAATGTTATTTATAGCAATAGAGTCACACATTATCCCACAAATTTCAATGCAAATTCATGTCCCTGGTCTCGGCTAGAGCAGAGACATAATTTGCACCACCCGAGGCTGTGGTTTAATAGGTGGCAGAGTTCAAACATCAAAATGTGAGTCACTTTCAGGCAGTGCAAATAAGCTTTTTTATTATTTTCACTATATGCTGCAATACTGTTCATACTGGAGCAGTTACAATAGAGGGAGTTCTTTAGCAACAGGCTTCCATGCTTTGTACAAATAGATGTTGTAGTGGATAATATTTTAAATTGTAAAGAGAGGAAACTATAATAGAATGTTTAACAGCCATTTGCTCCCGTTTATGTTCCATTTTCTTATGTCAGTTCAATTTTCTATTTTCATACCGTTTGAGTTTTCATAAATACTGAAAAACACTGTCTGTTGCGAGGCGAGTTCTTTTTTGAAATTACTTTGATATTTGGAGAAACAAGCTGTGTGATGCTGGAATAATTTAAGAGTCGTTGCAAAGTGCTGGCACTTTCAGGGGATTTCCAGAAGGCACCAGAGCTGCACTGCAATTAGACAGACCCAGTCCTGCAGTAAATTCAAACATGCTTGTGTTTGAACAGCACAGGACTTATCTGATACACTGTGGTGTACTGTAGCCTCGGGTTAGATGTGTAAATGTAGTGTTGAATGGTGACATACTGCAAGGCAAGCATTGCATGAGTGGGAGAAGTAATCAATCAAAATGACAGCCAGTTCACCCAGGGACCTAAACAAGAGCCATGATAGGCTCCATTTGGCCCGGGTCCTGTCTTCATGGAACTGAACTTTGATAATGAAAGTAATAAGTGACCTGGGGCACAGTCTGTGTCCTGTTACAGATGAAATAGGGGACGCACACGTGAAATAGGACTGTCACTTTAAAAAAAAAAATCTTCCTGGAACTCACACTCTATATCAGACAGCAGACTTTAAAAAAAAAAAAGTGAACAGGTGCAGCATCAGCCTGTAGCTTCTTGGAAAGAGTTACTAAGGAGGACTGAACCAATTAATTTGTCAGCTGCCTTTCTCCACACATACATTCAAGTTCAGTGGTCCTCAAATGGTGGCTTGCAGTCTGCAAAGGAGAGTGTTTTACTTTCCTTCAGTGTTTGTGTTTGTGTTTGGTCAGCACGGTGTTTGATGGGCTGTCATCTCAATGCCAACAATGCGCTGATAGGGTATTGTTGGCACTACTCACTTTTGCTTTTGAAGCAGTTCCATTATTGATACCTTGCCAGCAGTTGGAAGCTAGATTGAATGAAAATGGCCTGCTCCAAATTTGAAAAGAAAATTAAGGTGACAACTTTATTTTATTACATATTTTTATTAATACATCTGTATAATGGCTGGTGGCTTGACCATCTATAATGAATAGATGAATGAAATAATAGATAAAAAAGTACTAAGGCAGGGGGCTGTAATAAATTAGCTGAATGGTTAGTTGGGCCTGAGTTTACAAACCTGTAATACTGAACTGTGATAGTAGTGCCCCCTGCTGGAGCATGGAGTAACTCTTGACAAGCACATGCACACGATCAGGTTACCATCACTCTAATTTGAACTGTTAACTTTATGCTTGAAACTTTAAATGAGATGTGACAGTTCTAGTGCCTCTGCACACACACACACACTCACACACTCACACACACACCAACATGGAAATGGGTTTAGATCAGACAAGCTGACAGCCACTGCACAAGATCTGACACCATCCTATTGCTACTATGGCAACCCTTTTCCAATCCAGTCCATCTTCGTCTCTATGAAGTGAGTTCCTGAGTCTTCCTGACGCTTGATTGTGGTTACTACCGTCTCGCTCTTCTTGATGCTTAATTAGCTGGTTTGGGAACAGAGGAATGCTGCTCTTAATTGCTGAGTGAAGTACAGCAAGACCCCACTGGCAATTACACACAGTGGGCAGGCAACAAAACCCTCCTTAATTAGATCATTACCCAAATGGGGCAACAGAAGTAGGAATAGGAGACAATGGGGGATAGGGACAAAGAAAAGAAGGAGGTCGTGTGTTAGGAGGCCGACAAAGATGAAAAGATATGCACACTTTTAGCATGGAGATATAAAAGATAAGGAAGAGGCACAAGGAAAAAAAAAGAAAAAAAAAAAAAAAAGAAAACACCACAGTAAACCTGTCACTTCTTCATCAGTCAGGTTAAAAGGATGTACATATGACAAGTTTCATCTTCATAAATCTTTGAAGATCAAACTTGTCACCTAATCACTTGAAACGCACAGAATTCCCTCCTGGCTTTTGAATCCTTTTTCTTTGTAGCTAATATCTTTTTTTTTTTTTCTGCTTAAGCACTAAAGTTAATGAGAAGTGCATGAAGGGAAGGGGAATGGAATTCAGGCTACACAGTGAAATAGTGGTTAGTGCTATGGCCTTATATTAAGAAGATCACCAGTCCGATGGGTCAAAGGTCAACACAAGGAAGATATTTCCCACCACCATTCCTCAAGTACTTGCAAAGTGTGTGATCAAACACACTATGCTGTATTTTAATATTTCATTAACTATTTCCAATGAGGTTATACAAATATAACCCACTTAACTTGAGTTATTCACAGAGAAAACAACGTTACATTACTATTTTCTTTTTCTGATGAACAGGTTCAGAGTTCTAAGCTGTGCCTCATCCTACCTTCTGCTGGATTTACACATTTAAAGCAATGCTTAGAATATTCAATTTCCAGATAAAAAAGTGAAAGCCCGGGGCCATAGTGAAAGAAGCAAAGAGCAGGTTGGCACTCATTCATTAATGAATAAGTGCCAACCTGACCTTCAGTGCAGCTGTGAGTATGCGTAAAGTTTCTTCTTTTAATTAAAGTCACTCTTGATGCTTTTGTGTGTAATTAAGGCCTCAGAGCAGCAGAGGTATCGTGTTGTAGTTGATGAGCTACTGCAGGCTAATGTGGGTGATTACCATAAATTATTAGTCATAATATCAGTCCATAAAGATTCACAGAGAGGGCAGCCGGTCCTTTATGTTACTACGACATTGTGACTCACTGTTGTGCAGGGCAGGGATTAAATGTAACATAGTTTTTGTGATCACACACATTTTACGCTGACTACCAGCTCAAAGCTCAAACAGGCCGCATTTATTGTATTGAGTTATTGTACGTGCCACGAGGGTAAATGAGACTAAAGGGAAGCCACACGTGCAGCATGTGCGTCCAAGTTTGTTTGTCAGTGTGTCAGCAGCAATTTAGTTGGCCTCTTTATTTCCGTTTGTTTACGTGCATGTGGTTGAATGTTTACAGTAGCAATTTTAGTGTCTCTGGAGGAGTCGCTGTGTTTGAACGGAAAACACAGTCTGCGAGAAACACATGCACACAGCTCCACCGAGTACGACATACAGCAATCTCTCAGCACCAATCCAATAAATGTGACAGCTGCTGAGGGGCTACATGGGTAATGTTGAAGCCTGCAGGAAAAGAGTAATGAGAGTGCAGTAAATAAGCTCACGCTGACAGCTGGGGGGTTTTTCATACTGCGTGTCGTCTGCATAGAAACCTCAGCCCCATTGATAATTGTTGAGTTGGGGGGGGGCAGATTTATATACAATCATGGATGCACAGAGGAGAGTTTGGAAGTAGAGACATTGTTATCAAGAAGAGGAAGGGGAATTAATTGGATGTCAGGGGTTGTTACATTGGAGCGACTCGACTGGAGGGGAGATTAAATTAGTCTAATTCACTGACACAGAACAGACTCAGACAGAAGACAGGCCTACAGGAAATAAGACTGGAGGCTGTGAGGTGGGCGGATGGAAAAGGAGAAAGTGAGGAAGAAGGTAGAGACGAGGGAGGCAGCCAGACAAACCACTATCTCCTCTTCAGTTATGTCTTTATTCTCTGTATTATAGTGCACATATGCAGTCTGGGGCAACTACATGCACCTGCAGCTCTTACAGTAAATATTCCTCAGCTATTAGGAAAAACCTGTGAGGAACTGTTGGCAGCAGCAGCAGAGTAATGGAGAAAAACAGCAACAAATGATGTGAATTCCCAGTCCTTATCACAGCCCTGACATGGGACCAGCTATCTTTATTTATTCTTGTACTGACCTGAG